CTAGAAATAGAGGCATCATGGTGTATAATGAATCACGGCCATGTGTATCTATTATTTTGTATTGTGTGTGTGTGTGTGTGTGGGGGGGGGGGGGGTCTAGAGAGGTGCAACACACACAAATCTCTGCACACAATGCAAACACTGAAGGGGATCAGGAACATCAGGATGTGTGCTGAGCACCCACAGATAACGTCTCTGCAACATTTCCATGACATTGTAGCTGTGTTGGCTCATTACCACAATGTCACAGTGGTGGTGTGAGGATGTTGTGTTGGGGTGGGGGCACACGTTGTTGAGGAGGGGGTCAGGTGCAGGTATTGGGCCTCTGCAGATGAGCTGATTAATTAAAGAGAGCTCTATTAAGGTTATTGAGATGCAGCTTCTCCTCACCCCCTTCAAACAGCCCACTCCACAGTGGATAAAGGTACATGAAGCCATGGGGGGGGGCATCCTTGCTTCTGTTGACTTTAGCAAGGGTGCCCTCACTCCACATGACCCGCAACCCTCACTACAAGTGCTTCTCTGCACCCCACCTTTGCCGAAGTGACTCTCTCTTCAGGCTCCAAAATGAGGCTGCAGTTTTAATCCTTCCTGCCCATCAACCCACTTACCCTTTCCTCCATCTGGAGCAGGACTGGGGGGAAGGGGGAAGGGTGAAAGTAGGGTGGGGTGGGGAGGAGGTTGAGGGGGGGTAATCGCATCCCTCGTTCCATCTCAACGAATTTTCTAATTTCCTTTGCCTCCATGCTTTGTCCCCAAATTCACGCCCCTTAACCTATCCACCAGACTCTCATCTGCCCCCCCACCCCCACCCCCACCCCCTACACACACTTCTTTGCTCTGTTGTTTTGGCTCACAGAGTAAACGAATACCTGAAGACTAACGTTTGTTTGCAGCAAGATGAGCTGAAAGTTCTTTTTACATCTTCACTGCATTAAGTGAATACACAAGAAAACACAACTTCCATATTTTCTTCATGCGTCTCCTGGAACTTCCTTAACCCTAAAGTGTGCACAGCTATTACTAATGTTTCCTGAAGTTCATATTTACAATCCTTATCCAATAATTAATAACGAGTATGGTGCAAGACAAGGAGAAATATATGTAAAAATTCAGTTTCCTTTTGCAAAATTGGTCCAAAACCAAGTTTTATAAACAGACTTCATGAAAATCTGTTGTATTTGTCACAGGAATTGTGAGGAAATGTTTTTATTTCACAAGTTATTTAAAAAGTTACAACAGCACCCAAAAGGAACCATGTTCGACTGTTTTTTTAATGGACTGGACCGTTGAGGTGTAAGCGTACAACATATTAATTACAGACCAATTACATGGAAATCACAGCTTTTAATGGGCAGTGGCTCAAGTACTCAATTCTAATTACACATCCTCATGCTCAGAATTAGGTAGCTTTAGGTACAGCTCCCTCCTCTCAGATTAACTCCTGAGAATGAATTCAGCAACTAACTACAGCTCCATCTGCTGTTTCCATCAGTCTGAGTAAACCACGGTGAAACAGAGTAATGGTTTCTTTTGGCAAGCAGCTTTAATCAGAGATTAGTAAACTCTCGTGAACTCCGTTTTACAAAGAAAAAACATTTTTTTGAAAAAAAAAAAAAAGCAGGCTACATTTTCACATGAGCACTAAAACATAAAGCCTGTGCACGGACACGTGCTCCATTGTTGGCACTCATTCACTTCAAGATGCAAATGGGTGAGTTTGAAATTCACCCTGTGTGTGTTATGCTTGGATACCTTAATGTTGTATCTATGCTGGGGATTATTCTCTCTACAGCGGAAAAAGAATAAAAAAGAACCTGTGCTTGAATGGCAGTGCCCTCAAAGTAGCTCCTGCTGCTTTCAATGGCCTCCAAACGAGATTAGACCCGCGGCTGCCCTCGGCTCCAATCCTCTGCATTTAGACGGAGCGGAACCAGCCTGTGTGACAGACTTTCTGTTTTGACACCGAGCGGCTGCAGTCGCTGCATATACAACGTTTTGGAATTGAGAGGTCAGAGCTAAAACGAAAATCTCTGCTGCTCACATTGGTTTTGTGAAATGATATCCAAAGTAATAAATAATCTTTTGTATTCTCCACTTTTAATGTGCGCAGTTAAGAATACCAACAATAAAACTAAATAAAGAGATTGTAAGTTTATCGTTAAACTTAATATATGCGACACATTTGTTTTACTTCCGTTTCACATTCGGCACATTCGTTTTTATATTATTTTAAATCTAAATATTCAGAAGTGAAAGAAACTAAGAAAACATAAAATATGACAAGCATACTTTAACAGTGAATATAAATAAGGAGATAAGATTAAATAAGAACACTTGTGACTTGTAGTGAGCAGAAGACTAACTTTTTGTCAAGTCTCCAAAGTGGCTGTTCATTCTCACTAAATAGATCTTTAATGTAGAATAAAAGAAACAGTATTTCTTTACAAACTTACTGAGGGGGATCTTTTTAAAACACCTGGCTGCAGCTTAGACTGAGGCCTTTTCATTTGGCACAATGTAGCGGTGCTCAGGGTGAACGTTGCCAGGTGCGGCGGTTTTGGTCTTCTTTTACTAGTTTCACATTAAGTGGCTCATTTATTTGACACAGCAGCTACTGCTTAGTTCCTGCCCAGCACAATAAAGGCTGAACAATGGTTGCATTCAACTTTTTCATAAAAAACTAACTAAATACATATTCCAGGAACTGACTAAATAGTATGCATGTATTCTCCTTGCCCACCTCTAGTTTGGTTTTTGCTTCCTCCCGTTTTCACGTGTCACGTGGTTCTTTTTTTCCTTTTTCTTCCTCGTGTTATTCTGATGGATAACTGGACTCTGAAACAGCTGTCGGTCTGCAGAGGACCGTCGGTCTCTGTTGCTGGAGAAAGGTCTCTCCTCCTCTGCCTTACTTGGGTCAGAGGTCGGTTTCTGTCCTGTACGGAGGTCCTTCTTGTCCTGAGGTCTGCGCTGTTTTGCACTCAGCTGTACTGGACGTTTTTCTCCAACGTGGGACTGCAAAGACGAGATTCAAATTCATCTTACATAACTGAATTAACTATGACATTCATTTAGAGCAGCTGCGTTACAGCACTTTGACCCACACCCTATTTGAGAGGAAAATCTGGCGCCATCTAGTGGCAAACAGGAAAACCAACAATAAAATAGAACAAAGGCAACGAAAAAAAGAGTTTAAAATCCACCAGGTATATTATTATAATTATTATTTGTATTATTATGAGTTCATAAAAATGATCAGTTGGGTTGTAGAAGGTTCAACAAACCTCTGCAGTGGGCGGCAGTTTCCCTGCGTCAATGTCCTGTTGATGACAGAACATTTTTGTTGATCTTTATTTCATGATAATAGAAAACCAAGAAATTTACTCCATGCCTGTTATTTATGTCTATCTATAACCTTATCAAAAAAAAAAGGCTACAACTATTTTGGCTGTGGCAATGAACATTAAAGGAACAGTACTGGGTTTGTGTCCTTTGTTTGTAACCTGCTCTGAACTCAAATTAAAATGATCAAAACTATTGACATTGCGATTTTTGGCATTAAAAAGAAATGATACTTCCAGCTTATATTCAGAAACACTCGTTGTTTTCAGTCAAAACGCTCACATTAAATTTGAAAACGCCAGGCAGCTGATTGTGAAGGCCAGCTGCTCTAAACAAGCATACAGTACCGTGTTGTTAAAGGAGGGTGAGCAGGAGCTGCTGTCCTCGTTAGGACCGAGCTCAGCACCGTTGATGTTTGTCTTTGATGGAAGAGCCAGTGAGGCCAGGAACGGCTCCAGAGTGTCCTCAGCAGAGGCGAGGGAAGACTCCGCCACAGTCTTACTTTCTGTTGAGAATGGTTTTAAACACCAGCATGAAGCCCCCCACAGCTGCATCATGTTAACACCTCACTATACCTATAAAAACAAAGTACTGTTGACATAGTGATGTGGGCTCAGCTCAGGATTTTGGGGAATATTCTGGCAATTAAAAGCTATATGTTATATATTATCTATATTATTTTACAGGTCTACAAGTATTTTACAACTGTTTTTCACTAAGTGTTTGAAAAACTACATTACCTTGAATATATACTTAAAAAGTATGTTTAAATTTATATATATTTGTATAAATGTATAATCATTTTAATTGTTCTTTATAGTCTGGTTGTATGATTGTTTTATTATGTGTAGAACACTTTGGTCCTGTGGGTGTTTAAAGTGCTCTATAAATAAAGCTGGTATGGCATGGCATGGCATGGTATGGTATGTATGGCATGGTATGGTATGGCACGGTATGGCATGGTATGGTATGGCATGGTATGGTATGTATAGCATGGTATGGCATGGTATGGTATGGCATGGTATGGCATGTATGTATGGCATGGTATGGCATGGTATGGTATGGCATGGTATGGCATGGT